GAGCTTGCAAAAAATACAAATAAATATATGTACATTCCAATAAAAAAAAAAATACAAAAAAAGGGCAAGAAATGCAAAAAAAAATAATATAAATTCCAGTAGCAATAAAATGCAAGATATACAAAAAAAAATATATTAATGCCAATACCAAACAAATGCATGATATACAAAAATATACATAAATTTCAATAAATTAAAAAAAAATAGCAAAAAAATTAGACCTTGACAGATATAAAAAAAAAACATAAAATACAAAAAAGAGTACCAAAAATAGTAAGAGCTTGCAAGAAGTACAACAAAATAAAAATTCCAATACAAAAAAAAATTCAAAAAAAAAATTAAATCATACAAGAAATACAGATTTTATAATTGTAATGCAAATTATTAAAAATTATTCTTGAAGTTGTGTACTTTCCCAAAATAATTTTTGCTCTCCAAAAAAAAAAAAAACAAAGAACCTATAAATTTTAATTACATTTTGGGGAAAAGTTCTTCATGAAATGTAAATTAAAATGGTAATTTTGGTGCTTTTTTGTGCTTTTTGTGGGGCGAGTGGGCAATAAATTAACAGCTTGGATGGAAGTATATTCAACGGAATGAGCGTTGATATGAGCCCAAGGCAATTCGCGGCTTGGAGTATTCTTTGGAGATCATTAAATGCACTTGGGGGCAGCGACAGAGTGGGAAGGAGGAAGCGAAAGGGATGCCAAAGAGAGAGAGAGGGAGTCAGTGAAGCGATCGTTGCTTTTGCATTAATTTCACATGCAATTTACGCTGATTTATTTGATCTGCAAGCCCATGCCCTGGTCATGTCGATGGCTCTCATGGTCCCTGTCCTGTCTATATATCTGGCTGTGTCTCTGTCTTCTGTCTCCTGTCCCCTGGCTGTCTGTTTGTCACTCAGCCGCAGCGATCGGTAGATCTCTCAAAAGACCTCTTCCTAAATTGGCTGCAACCGCAAAAGAGGTCTGTGGCTCCTGCCGCCTGCCGCCTGCTCGCCGCCTGCTGCTGCTGCTTCTGACTGTTGATTTGATCGATTTGTGTTGATTGCCTGTCAGAGTGGCAGGGCAATACAATGGCTTGTGGATGCCAGAGGGGGGGGCAACAGGCAGGCGGCAAGGACAGGGCTCTGGGGCTGGCTCTCCTGTTAGGTGTCAGTCGGGGCAGTCAAGTGTTAAATATACGTATAGAAATATATGCATGGGGCCGCAGAGTTTATGTTAACTAAAAGTGCATAAAATGCGCTCGAAAAGGCCAAGATTCAAAGTCGAAAGTCGGTTCTGTCGCTTCTGTCAGTCAGTCATTCATTCACTTGGCTCTGGCTTCTCCATTCCCCCCCACCCCTTTGTGGGGCAAGTGTGTGCCTGGCTTCCTTTCTCCTTGGCGGTGGGTTTTGTTAAATATTATGGTTTTTTTCGCGTCTCTTCGCTTAGGATTTATTCAAATTTAAAACATTTTCAGGCAACTCTAATTAATGAAGTTCTTTCCAAAGATTGCTTGTCCGCTGAGCCATGACCATCCTGGAGTTTCCCTTTTGAATGCCATTTCATTGCATTTTCCCTCATTTTCTTTGCCCCATCCATGGCTTCAGCGTACTTCAATTTATTGTGTATATATTTGAGATTGAGAGAGGGAGAGACCCGTAGTAGTTCTTTCTGCGTTATCATTCTAACGTAATCTTAATCACTTTGCCCAATGTTCATTCATCCACATCATCAATTTCCTTCTTCGGGGTTTCTGCTGCAGCTGAAAAGGGGCATCCCCCTCGAACCGATGTCTTGGGTTCGCATTTTGAGGGTCCGTCGGTGGCTATCTCTTTTCTGCTCTGCTGGCCGTCTCCTTTGCTCCGTTAGCCATCTCTTTTGCACAGCCTTTGCTGCTTGCCGCCGCTATCAGATTTTCAACGAGAGAGATTTGATACACAAAAAGCACGAGAAATATCTCCCCCGTAACTCCTTCAATCGTTCCACACCCATCACTCCTGCCTTTCCGCCTTCCTCTACATATTTTTCCATGCTCGTGCTTTCCCGATTTTCCTTTTTCTTTGCTGCTGCTTCTGCTGCTGCTGCTGCTGTTACCATTGCATCAGTCAGCTGACAACGCCCTGAACTTCACCTCTGGCCTAAGCCCTGCCCCTGCCCTGCCCCTGCTCTCCTGTTACCAAAAAAACAGCATTTGCTACTTAATAGTTGTGGGTCTTATCGGTTCGCAATCTGCCTGTTTCGACCCCTCTATGGGCCAAGTTAGTTAGCCAGACAACAGGGCCCAGAGAGAGGGAGAGAGGGAGAGCGAGAGAGCATTTGGCCATATTAAAAATGTATATAGAAACTCTTAAACAAACCTTCCTTTGGCCAGGAATCAAGCAGAGATGGTCAGTGGTCGTCCTACTCCTCCCTCGTGCTGCCACCGCTTCTGGCCTGGTCGAATCGGATCGGGTCTGGTCCCGGTCCCGGTCCCGGTCCCGGTCCCGGCTGCTCCTCTTATAGATTTCAATAATAGATTTTTCGAGCTGGTTTCCTTCTGGTTGCATCTCCCGCAGTCCCGCAGTCCCGCCACCCGACGACTGTCTGCAATTTTCGTTCATTCGGCGTGCAAAATTGTTTTTCTTTTGGCCATGAACCCGCGTGCTGACGCTGACGGCTTCTGGGGCTCTTTGCTCTCGGCCCTGCCCCTGCCCCTGCCTCTGGCCCTGGCTCTGGGTCTACTTCTAATGTGTTTCTTTTGTTTCGTTTTTGGTTTTCGGTCGGAATGCAGCTGTGCGTTGAACCTTTTGCCAATTGCAATTGTTTCGTGGTGCGGTGTTGCTGTTGCAACGTTGCTGCTGCTGCTGCTGCTGCTGCTGCCACAATTCGTTGCTTGCTTGTTGTCCACTTAAAGTGCCACATTTGGTATAGGGAATGCTGAATGCTTGAGAGGTCAAGCAGAGACTGGAGGGTCTCCCTAACCCTCATTTGTTGAAAAGCTCTTCGTGGCAACGACTTCTGCAACTCGTCTCTGGCTTTAATGGTTATTTGAGGGGATTTATATGGCCATCTCATTGGGTAATCGATAAATGATGCAGCAATGAAAGCAGATGGTTGCATAATGTTGCATATTGAAGGAGGAATCTTCTAATGACAGCCATCGATGTGCTAATAACGATCAAATCTTATTTCAGGCGCACAAAAAGTCAAATCTTTTACTTTCGTAAATTTGTTGATCGATTAATGCGTAATAATCGATTGATCGATAGATATTTTAACTATAATTTTGTTTCTGGCAATCCTTTCCCTCCTTTAAGCCACAGAAAGTCCTGTAATGCCTTGCAATTTTTGCTTATAGTCTTTAAATAAAATTAATCGCTTGGAAAATTGCTAATAAGCTGCCAGAGAGAGACAGGGAGAGAGATAGAGAGCGTGTGAGAGCACATCAAAAAGCGACTAACCAGAGATTAAGATAGTTCCACAAGGGCCACGCGTGGGTGTGACTTCCTGCAGCTCTGGCCCCCCCTCCCCATGGAGCAAAGTTATCCCCCATCTACCTGGGGCCAAAGATTGAGATTAGCTAGCAAGGAAAGATGCGTGGCAAGGTGAGCCAAGAAGGCCTGGCCATCAGAGAGGCATCTCGGGAAGCATTTTGTCCCGGGGTTACGTTTAGTAAGTGTGAATTTGGTGCCATCAGAGCTCCATCGCTCCACCGCTCCACCGCTCCACAGAGGGTCACAGACAAAAGTCAACGGAAATGTGCGAGAGCTTCGCTCGGGGCGCAACTAAAATTGCCAATGAAAATAAGCGTAGATTACGAGTAGAACCCGGCTAGGTCTCTGGGCCATTCCCATTCGCATTCCCATTCGCATTGCCGTTGCCATCAAGCGAAAACCCATCAAAGTGTAATGAGAAAAAGTTAACTTCGCTTCCAGGCATGCCCCTTCCTCTCCCCTTCCCATTCCCCTTCCCATTCCCCTTCCCTTTTCGATTCCCAGCCCCCTTGTTGTTGGCTTGTGGCGGCGTGTGTCTCTGATTATCCCTGTTCTCGCCATGCCCCCGGGTTGGGGGTCATTATCTGCTTCGAAACTGAAACCAAAGATCCCGTGGACACATGCTGGTCAATCTAAGGGCTAACTGCTTCTCTTTAAGTTGTAAAATCTAAAAGCAACGCATAAACAGGGCCCAAGTGGCGGGGCGGGAGGGGAGATCCCAGCGTTTGGATAAAGTCATTTCTGGAATGGCTCTTTTTGGGTCTGGAAATTGAAAACTTGAAGGGGAAGGGCGGAGCACTTTTGCTGGAAGAAATGTCTTCCGTTTGAACCTAATGAGGCCCTTCTTTTGAGGCTTTAAAATCTGTTCAAATGCGTTGATCTCTTCCATCATTCTACGCCCCTTTCATCCTCCTCTTTAATCCAGTTCTTTCCGTATTTTTGCCCCACAACTTAGCTGCTTCTTCGGCTCTTCTTCCCTCCATTCTGTGCCCCAATTCTTCGGCTCTTCTTCCCTTCTCTGGTATGCCCCAAATCTTCGCTCGACCTCACTTTCCATTTCGCACTTCAAGCCCAAAATTAACCCAAAAAATATGGTATCTTATGCAACGTCAGGGCCGTCCATTACCCCAGTAAAAAGGGAAATCAATTAGGCACAGTTTGGGGGCTCAGTAGATCATTAATTTTGGAGGCTGGCCAGAGACACATCGTGTAAAATCATCAAATAAATCCATGTCAAAGTTCGGCACAACATTAGCGGATAATTAACACGCCCCTTTTGCCAGGGTGCGGCCACCACTGCTCCTCCACTGCTCCTCCACTCTTTTGGCCAACTTTTGTGATGCAAATGAGAGGCGGCCGTCTATCGTTGCGCTGTTGGCGGTCCACCCACATGTCCCATCCATCGCTGACGTATACCCCGTAACACTTACTCGTATCTATCGTCGGAAATTATACTCCGATTTGTGTGCATCGATTAATCGGCATATAATTCATTTTCTTATCATCTTTCCCGCTCTTTTTCTCTCTCGTTGCAGGCGGCTCTTTTCGAAAACAACCATCACGAATGCCTTGATTTTGAAGTGAGTTTTGAATAGTTTATTTTTTTTCAAGTAATTTGCATAAATTATGTGGCGAGATTGCATTTTCCAGGGGCGTGGCGTCAAGGTGTTGTGACACCGAAGGCCATAAATCAGTTTTGGTGGGTGAGTGAGGGCGGAGGGGGGGAATTCAAAGTAACACGGAAATGGAATTCCGTAATTAGTGCAACAATTAATGAGGGGTATTTATGTCAACGTTTGGGGAAGACGAAAAATTATAGAGTTTAACATATATCATCCTTAAATGGGGTTTTAATGGCATTTCAAGGCCTTGGTTTTACTTTAAATGTAAAAAGAAATATTAATCGAGAATTTATCGATATATTTAAAGACATTTTTTGTTAAAAACAACAAGTAAATCCATCAGAAACAGGGAAGACATGCATTATCCAGAAGTTATGTCAAAAACCGCATAATATTGCCAGTTAATCGAAAAGTTATCAATGCTAATCGATTATAAGTGTGTAATGTACTAAATTTTGATCGATTTGATGATGATTTCAGCACGATAAGTCGCATATATCGATAAGCCTCTGCCTTTCCCAATCCTGTCACTCGTATGTCGTCTCCAGAGAAGAATTCCATTTACCAGAGGATCAGCCCACACGAAAACCGCTTCATCGGGCTTCACACGCCTCTACTCCATCAGATGTATGATGGCCAACTTAGACAAACTGTTGGCTCTCAGACGACTGTCTTAATGATGCCCAGATTAATGTGGGCCCCACAAGGAAAAGCCAACCAACCACCGCCTCGGGAGAGGCAGTTTCCGCGGTGAAAAACCAACTGCGGGCAGCGGGCAGCGGGCAACGCCTTTTTGGTGCCAAAAACTGAAACTTTAACTATTTATTACCCGCCCCGAATGGCCCCAAGGGGACTGGGGGGGGACAGTCTGGACGGCTGACTGAATGACTGGATATCTGCGAGCATTCAAATGCATTAGCTCCAAATGTCCGATATGACGTCCACGGCCGTCTTGTCGTCTCTCCATCTCCCATTGGACTCCTGCGTCTCCGCCAGAAAGCTGCCTGTCGAGTGCACTCCGAGTGTGGCTAAATGGTTGAGCGGAGGGGAAGGGGCAGGGGCAGGGGAAGGCCGTAGTCAAATTAGCGCCTCGGGCTGCTCCTCAAATCCATCTGCCGTGCCGCCCTGACATTGAAAAGGGTCTAATGGGTCGGTCGGTCGGTCGGTCGGTCGTCTGGTTGTCTGAAACTTTTGCCTCTCACTGTTTTGCTGTTGCTGGTTAATGATGCCAACAGCAGCGGCAGCGGCAGCGGCAGTGGCAGCGACAGCGGCAAGGTTTGTTAATCGATTTATGATGTTTGAGAAAATTAAATGTGTCTGCCCCCGAATGGGGCGAATGATAAGAGCACAAGCTCCTCTGCCGCAACAGAAGCCGTAAGGCCAGAGCGACACAAAAGTCGACTTTCAAATGCCACCCAAGGAGGCTCCTCCGAGCCTCAAATTCGGTGACTCGAACGGGCGATACTCATTAATAGGAGTCCGTCTTCAAAAGTGAAACTCTCTTGGTTGATTTTGGCCTCAAAAAAGCCTTTCCGTGCACAGATAGATCTAATATGTGTCTATCATCATCTCTGCGAAGTATTGGGCATCTTTCCTACTCTAGGACTGGCAGCACTTGCAACTTTAAAAACTATTTCCCCCCAAAGAGCAATCTGAAGAGGGGGAGGGGGGATAGAGGAGAGGGGGGGGGGCACGTCACAAAGTAGCGTAAAATAACAATAAACAACAAATAATCATGTTGCTCCCAGTCCAAGTCGAAGTCGAAGTTCTTGCGCTTCCACTCCACTCTTCTCGTTCCCCCCGCTCTCCCTGGAGAAGCCAATCATGTGTAAGATTGCTGCATGTGGCATGGGGCAGGATGCTGTCTGCCGCCTGCCGCCTGCCGCCCGCCGCCCGCCTCTCTGCCAACTATTTGGCCCCAAAAGGAGCATCCAGTGCAGCAGCAATGAAGTTGTCGATGCGGAGGCGCCTTTCGAAATGTCAACGAAAGTGAAGGAAGCGACGAGCAACAAGAATCCCTCCCCCCCCCCCTGCAACCTGCACAGCAGACGCGAAAGTTCTTTCATTAAATTCTTTGCTCTCAAAGAAAGTGAAAGTAAATAAACACCTCAATGTGGGGAAATAGTAGAAAATAGCTTTAAATTTTAATTGATTCCCCAGTATTCAGAGAGAGCTGTTCGGAAAATCTGGTTTCATTCGTAAGCTCCAGGCACATGTTGTAAATTCTTCTACAAGGCAAAGAGTCCCCCCCCCCACCCCTGGCGGAATGGGGGGGTCCCTATCGCCGCCTCTCACAGAGATTTCCAGTGTTGCGTGGGTGTTGATTTGTGTTTGTCTACAGCCTCCTCTCCTCTCTCTCCTCTCTCTGAAGCCAATTGAAGGCGACACTCGAGTGTCGGAGTGTGGATTAAACTCCGCCAGAATTCGGGATTGGCATTGAAGTGTAATCAGTGTAAGCTGTCAGAAAACAGTTTCAACTTTAACAAACAAACAAGAAAAAACTCAGACCTACTCGCCGATTCATTCATTAAATTTAATGCCCAGAAAAAAAAAAGCTGCCCACAGGTTCTCCGGCCATCTATTGAGACACACAATTGGTCCACCAGGCGGGGGCCATAGCGAAGTGGAGCTTCCAGCCAATCCTCTATCAATTGGCCTCGACCAACTACCAAAAAAAGGAATAGCGAAGAGAAGAAAAAAGTGTAGGAACAAATTCCGTAACAAATTCTTGAGAAAAGTGACGGCATATGGGATACCCTGGCCGTTGGGGGAAGCATCTTAAAGATTGCTGCCTCCATGCTTCGTTGCCTTGAAAGATCTAAGGATTGCTGCTCCAATTAAATCCTTAAAAATTAAGGGAATATCTCTGGATAGACTCACAATTGGAACACCCTGTATGCCGTAAAGAGGCGACGACTAAAGTTGTTGCAATTGAATTTGCATAAATTGTGGCCAGAGTCGAGGCGAGTCGTTGAGTTCTCCTTCTGGTTACTGGTTTGCGTCTGCGGTTATGCAAATGCCCTCCCCCCCCCCCCCACCCCGGCGCACACACACACGCCCCCCCTAGTGTGCATTTGAAAATGCATAAGATTTATCCAAAGATTGCTGTCCATTAATTCAACTTGGATTTACTTTTAGCATATTTTACTGCTGCTGCTGCTTCATCCATGAAGCCGGACCAAAGAGAGGGACTCTTTTTTGCATTCGCATTCACAGTTCGATTCCGATTCCGATTCCGATTTGGAATACGCAAATAATTCTTGTGGGGGGGGTTTTTTTTTGCATACGACTCCCCCCCCCCCCCCCTCCCCCCCCCAGACGCCCCTTGCCGCTGCCCCACTGCTTGTACGCTTGCAATAAATTTGCATTTACCCACAAAATGTTTTGAACTATGGGGTTTCGTAGTTTCGGTTTGGGGTTTACCTTGCGTTTCGATTTATTTGCGGCTGAATTTATTCAAATCGTTGTCCATATCCCATACGTACATGGCCTGTGACTGGGAGGGATCTGGTGGCATCTGGCATTTCATTCGGTCATATTGATTAGTTTCTGATTGCTGGCATTTGGAGCCAAAGATGACCTTTTCGAGCCATCATTTGAGTTGCTAATTCGTGTGGCACTTGCCCCAAAGGAAACTGAATTCGCAATGGCATTGAAAAGAAACGCTTGAGAGATGATCTACGTGGCATGAAGTCTTAAAGTTAGCCCTTGAGAAGGCTTCAAACTGAAGTGAAACCTTTATTTAATTTTCTTTCATCTTTCTGTGGCACCACAGACAAATTCTGGCCGAGACACTTGTGGTTTTCGCATCTTAAATCCACTTTTCTGACAGGCCTAAGAAGAGATTTTCCATTACATTTGTGTCAAAATCATCCAAAATGGAACCAAATATAAAACCAAAAAACTAAATAACATTTTAGTGGACAGGAAAAATGTGAGGCATTTAAGTGAAGTGCAAAAGAGAAACCGCAGCCGGCAACCGCATCCGATGGGGAAATTTGTGTGTTAGTTTTCCCGCAGGGCAAAAACAAACAAAATAACACACACACACACTGGCACACATGAAAATTTAAATCCATTAACTGGTCAGAATTTCATACACAATTTATGAGGCGCATTGACAGGAGGAAAACAACCCGGTCCCAGTCGGTGACACATAGATACACATGTATATGAATACATTCATATATGTATTGGTATATTTTTTGAGGATTTAATAGCAACCACAGCAGCGGCCGACCGACTTTAGGCCTCTTTGAATAACCAAAACAAACACACACACTCGTGGCAATAAAACAACACCCAAAACTGACCAATAAACCCGGAATAAACCCGAAATAAACCCTGAAATGTCCCCCGGTAGGAGTTCGGGGCTTTAAACATTCGACAATCGACAACGAAAATAGTTTTCCAGTCGGTGGAGCCTTGGCTTCTTTTGGGCGTGCCGAGAGTCCTCGAATAAAGTTGGCACTTTGCACACGATTGGGCCTCCAGTGTGCCACAAGGAATGCCTTAAATATTTCATCATGTGAACTGTGGCGGCAGTCAATTCTAGACACAGAGGGTCAAAGGGGGGGGCGGGCTTCTCCTTCTCCACAAATTCCCTTTCGAGGGTGTTACCTAGTCGACTCCTGCACTGTCCCTTCATCGAGTTGCCACAAGTTTGTGCAGGCCTCGTTTTAGATATTTTGTCCAAAGAATTATGTACATTTTATAGTAGCCTTCGGGGGCTGGGGCAGGGGCACTGTTGAAGGGCTGAAAACCATTGAAGCAAACACAACAAACAGACGGTGGAGGAGGCTCTTCCAGGAGCTATTGATTCCGAAAAGTGGTGGGGAGTTTCGGGTTTCGGGGGAGTTGTTGCGTAACAAAAAGCCAGACCAATGAAATTATAGAGAATAACCCGCAATCAGAGGAGCAGACAACTAAAGACTGATACAATTCAGGCCTGTAATCAG